ATAAAGGAACAATCCGTGGAAAGAGTGATTGAGATTGTTGAGATGGAGAAGCTTACGGATTACACATGTAACCCTGAGTACATGACGTCTTGGACGGAGAAGACAAGAGCACAACAAAGCTTCATCGATGCTGTTCTGATCAATAGAACAAAATCTGATTACTTCTCTTTAGCTGGATTCGGGAATGTGAAGATTTCGCATCTGCGAAAGTATCACGCTCATTTGCTTCAACAGGCGTTCGACATGAAGATGAGGATCACATCCTATTGGACTATCGTTCTGAGGAGGATCGTGGACAACCTCGCGCTGTATCTTCAGTTATCTGTGAAGTATCTCGTGAACAGTCAGTTTCAGAAGGATATCGTGGCGGAACTGGTGGATCCCAGAAGCGGCGGAGGAGTTGAGAGGATGCTGCAGGAGTCGCCGTCGGTGGCGAACAAGAGGGAGAAGCTTAAGAACAGTATCAAGCTTCTTAAGGAGTCCAAGGATGCTGTGGCCGCCATTGTTGATCAGAATTCTGGGTACGGAGATCGCTGATTGATTGATTTTGCTGCTTCTAGCTTTGGTGAAGTCGGGTAATTTCGTGTTCGTGTTTGTGTCGGGTCGGGTTCTCTGATGGGGTTTTATGGATTTGGGCTTGGTCCTTATTGTGTTTTTCTTTCGGATTATTTTTCGGCTATTATGGTGACGGTATGTTGTGTTGCTTTTTATGCATCTTTTTATGTGGTGACGGTATGTTGTGTTGCTTTTTGAAATGAATTAGATGTTTAGCCTGCGACTTGCGCAGACCAAAAAGTTTCATTGAAACTTGAAATAAAATTTTATGTCATAAATAAAAAAATAATTAGATCAAGAATTTGATACATACAAAATTAAAATAAATCTAATCTATGAAAGTAATCATTGTCTAACTTTAAAAACTTTAAAATCAATATTAATAAGTGTATGAAATCATTAAACACAAACTAAAATAAGATTAATATGAATTATTCATCTTTTTCTTTTTTATCTTTTAATTTTTTTTTCTCTATCATTTTCTTCTTTCTTTCTTTTTTTTGTTTTTTTGTTTTTTTTTTCTTCTTTATTTTCTATGTCTTTTTTTAATTTTTATTCTACTGGTTTTTCTTTTTCATGTCTTCTTCTTCTTCTCCACATCTTTTCCTTTTTCCTCTCATACATCTTTTGATTTTTCTCTCCAGGT